AATGCCCCTCTTGGAATTCCCATCTGACCTGTGATCCAAAGGTACATTGATTTTAATATGGTGTAGGGGTTAACGCGTCGAAATTATACGCTCCACTGTCATGGTTCAATTCCCGCTGGGGGTCAAAGTGCAGCCTATCCTGGATAAGAATAGCTTTTGGATAGGCAAGGCTATGTGAAATTCACTGTAAATGTAAGGTATAGTCAACAAATTATGGGAAAAATTCAACTACCTGTTGTCTTATCACTTAAAACTAAATAGGGTGAATAATTTTTTTTTATAAATATCATACTGGTAGTCTCAAAAGCCTACTTTTAAACGAAACATCTTTCATCTATCTTTTGTTCTTTCTGCTAGAACACACCCTAAGATTGCGCTTAAGGCTAGTCCTGATGCTTTTTGTGCGAGCTTCTCCAAAATGTCCATACTTGCTATAATCACTCTGATGATCCAGAAGGTTGTCTACATAGCATGATCTAACCATGACCGACGCAGCCCTATACTTATCTTCATATTCCTCTCTATTAGGTATTTTTAGTTGCTCATCCACGGTTTAACCTTTGCCGAGAGGGCTGCTGATGTGATGAGAGTCCAAGTCCTCCATCAAGCCCAGATGTAAAGGCTATTTAAGGAAAAATGACGAAATGAATTTGAATAAAAAAACTCAGAACTTTCCTCGGATTCATCAGAAATAGGATCACTAGTTGGACCTGAAATACCATTTGAAAGCAATGCATATTGACAAAAAAAATGGTGGCGATCAAATAAAAACTAGCAACAATATAAAGTGATTATTTTGTTCTGTCTTATATTTTCCTATTGGCCGACTGAATGCAGCCAGGTATGCTCTAGCTAATGCAAAAGAACGAATTTCAAGGATTGTTTTGATCCCAACGCGTATAGGGTCTGGCAACGCAAATCAGGGGCGCGAAATTGAGAAATTGGCAAAATACTTGATATTCCTAAATTAAGTGGGACAAAAGGAAACATCACAATCCTATTAGAGATCTTGTAGTTCATATGCTAAGTTCCCATAATAAGCCATTTTTGTAGAGCAGATGAATGCTGGATAAACCAAACCACACTCCATAGTCGAATATACAACGACTGGGGCCTTATAAAAGGGGTTTTCTGAGTTGGGCGTAAGTCACAGAGGCAAAAGAAGTTGAGCAATTAATAGAAAATAAATTTAATTAAAGCTAAACTGCTAGACAATTCTGACTAACCTGAGTATTTTCGACGAAAAAATTAATCATATCCGACATGTTCCTCTCAAACTCTTTAATCACCTCTTCCAGTTGGTCGCAGAGTGTGGCTTCACGGTCCATCAATGTTTCCCAAAGGGCTTGAATTTTAGCACGATACCGACTCAGAAGAGAATCCGAATCCCCCGCGCTCCTGTCTGATATCAAATCAAGTTGCTGCATAACCTAAAGGGTGGAAGAAAAATGAATTACTCAACTTTATCCTTGAAGTGCAGACTAATATACCCTTTCTATCAAGAATATTTCTTTAGAAAATCCCACTCATGTTATCTTTTTCCAATGATGTCTACTAAGTTCAATTATCTCTTCTAGAGGGAAAACTTTGTTTGGAAGCATCTTCTCTGATGCGATTCAACCTCCAGATGAAGCTAATATATGAATATATGAAGATCAAGATGTTTTGGCCTCTGTTATGGTCGCATTCTCCTTTAGATTTATAGATGTGGGTTGACCTCGTTGTCGTAACTTAGTCTTGTTGTCAGGGGGACTATGTAGAACGCACCTAGTCCGAAGTCGTCTGCCATGAGAATGTACCAAGTCCATTGTCAGATGCTGGGAATCATGACAACTACTATGGCAGACGACTTCGGACTAGGTGCGTTCT